ATAACACCAATCTTACACAAGCTCTTCCAGAGAACAGAAAAAGAAGGAATCTTTCCCAATTTATGAGGCCAGAGTACACTTCATACTAAAACCTGACAATATTATAAGAAAGGAAAATGAGAGAAAAGAGAAAGAAAGGGAGGAAGGGAGGGAGGGAGGTAGGGAGGAAAATGACAGGCCTATCTCTCTTATGAAAATAGTTGAAAAAAAAAATAGTTGTGAAAAATTCTAAAATATTATGTAAGAAAAACATTATAATCAAATTGTATTTACTCCAAAAATGCAAAGTTGGTTTAAGGACTGAAGGTCAATCATCTATTCTACCACATAATATAAAAAGGGAGGAAAAATCATATTATTACAGCTGACCCTTGAACAACAATGGGGTGAGGGGTACCAACTCCCTTGCACAATTGAAAATCTGTGTATAACTGACTCCCCCAAAATTTAACTCCTAATAGCCTATTGTTGGCTGGAAGCCTAACTGAAAATACAAACCATGGATTAACACATATTTTGTATGTTACATATATTACATACTATATTCTTACAATAAACTATAGAAAAGAAAATGTTATTAAGATAATCATGAGGAAGAGAAAATACTCTGAAAACATTATGTTGTATTTAACAAAAATAATCTGCCTGTAAGTGTACCCACGCAATTCAAAACCATATTGTTCTAAGGTCAACTACATATCAATCATGAATTAAAAAGCATTTGATAAAAAAAGTCACCATTCATTTATGATAAGAACTTAGGAAATTAAGAATAAAAGAAAACTTCCTTAATTGATAAAGAGTAGCTAACAAAACCTAGAATAAATATCACACTTAGTTATGAAATATTGATGGTTTCTCCCTGAGACTGGGAGTGAGACAAGTATAAGGAACTCTATAGCACTGTGTATTATAGAAGACTGATGAATCACAGACCTGTACCTCTGAAACCAATAATACATTATATGCTAATTAACTGAATTTAAATTAAACTTTTTTTTTTTTTAAAAGAACTCCTACAAACTAGTAAGACAGACAACACAATAAAAATATGAGCAAAACTTTGGAATAGGCACTTCAGAAACGATGATATGCAAATGACCTACAAACGATGAAAAGGTACTCAACTTCACTAGTCATCGGATTTGAATAAAGGTTTGAAAAATTAAACATCAGCCAAAAAAAGGTGCTTTTCTTCCAGGTAGAAAAAATTAAACAGAGGGGCAACAGCTATAATAGGATATTCTAATGCACTTAAAACATCCAATAGAAAGTGGAACATAAAATCCAGCTCACATTCAGCCGACAGGAAAAACATAATCTTATTTTCAAAATTTATTTATTAAGCACTCATAATGTAGCAAGAATTATGGCAATTATCAAGACCAGTAAAGATTATGCATCTTAAAAAAATATTCTCAGAAATTTTTTCAAAGGAAAAGAGAAGGAAGAAGCCATCCTGGAATTTATGAAGGTAAAAAGGGACTGATCTAGGAACCAGAAAACATACAGGATTCCAAGTTTGTATTGGCAGACTATGTTAACTTTGGACAAACTTTTTTAGGCTCTAGGTTTCATTTCTATAAAATTAGGTGGCTGGAAAAAATGATTTCCAACAATTTTTTCGAAGTCCCAGAACTCTGATACTAATGGTAAAGCCATCAAAGCTGACTATCTTCCCTTAGAATTCTCTTACATGCTTTAGTTTTAGAATCTCAACCATGACCATAGCATTTTCAAGACAAATTTTTTGGAGATCCACTCCCCCCCACCTCAGCATAGAGTATAATTTAATAAGAACTAGCTAATATTAGTCAATAGAGACATCAAGATTTTTTAATATCTTGGATTGTGACATTTCTACAAGCTAGAAAAATAGAGACAGTTGGGATATAATTTCTTAAAAGTAATATAAATCTCTTGACAAGTAAAGCTTTCTAATTTGTTCAAGATACCAAAGCTCATGAACACTTCAATCTCTGGTTATTTTTGCTATTGGAAAGAAAAGATACATCAGGCATAGTATCTAAGCAATGAAGAATTTCTAATCAATGGAAAAAGTCATGGGATACACGGTATCATACAAACCCAGGTCTAGCTGTGCAACTTACTGTCTGTGACATATTGAAGAAGTGATTTAAATTCTCCAAACTCAGTTTCTCACTGAAAATTGTGGATAAAAACAATAAAATAATAGCTCCCCAAACCCAAGGTAAACTAAAAGTAGGCGACTTTACTGGACAAGGAAGGAGATGCCTGATGGTGTTATATAAATATGGCAGACATGAAGATTAAGTGGCCACATCTAGAATCTACCTTGTCCAAGACAGAAGTCTTGATCTTCCACCCAACTGTGCTTCTCTCTCAGACTTTCCCATCATATTAAACAATCAAGCCTAGGAATAAACCTTGATTTTCTTTTCCTTATCATCTCCAGCACTTAATTTATCAGTAATTCCGTCAGGCCTACCTCCAAAATGTATTTCTGACCACTTTTCCCTGTCTTCATTGCCAATACTCAAGTCCTAGCTGTCATCACCTCTCACCCAGATTCTGCAACCGACTTCACCATCCTTCTCCTTTACTCCCCTTCAGGGAAGCATTCACCCGGCAATCAGAGTGGTCTTTTAAAAATGGAAATCAGATCATATCACTCCCTCTAACCACTTTCCACTGCAACCAAAATAAAATCTAAACTCTTTGGATGGCCTGCAAGGCCTTACACAATCTGGCCTCTCCCACTTCCTCTGACCTCACTTATTTTATTTATTTAATTATTTGACCCCTTTCCTCTTACTCACTAGGAGCCAGACCTTTGCTACCCAACGTGGGAGCTACTAGCTACACATGGCTATTTAAACTTAAAACTGAATTAAAATTCAGTTCCTTAGTTACATAGCCACATTTCATGTTCATAATTGGCCACATCTGGACACAGGCTACCAAAGTGGACATCACCAAACAGATTTCCATCAGAACACAAAGTTCTCTGGGACGGCAATGATCTAGACCCATGCCAACCTCATTCCCACCTCCACGTCATTGAACCTGCTACTCCCCCCTTGAGAATATTCTTCCCCGGATATTGGGATGGCTGACTCCTTCTCATAATTCAGGACTCAGTTCAAGAAGCTCCTCCGGGGGACCTTCTAAATTTAGATATAGATCGCTCAGTCTCAAACAGTTCCCCAGTCTCCCCCATACCCAGATATTCTTTGTCACCCTGGTTTCTTTTTCATAGTACGTATCGCTATCTGAAACTATTTTGTTTTGTATGTTTACTCATAAAATGTAAGCTCTGCGAGGGCAGAGACTATGTTTGTATGTTCACAGCTGTCTCTCCAGTGACTAGAACAATACTTGATATGTAGGAAAGGTAAAGTAAGTTGTTGAACAAAGGAATACGTGAGTAAGTATCTGAAAGAACATGGGTTTTGGAGTTAACCCAAACTGTACTCCAATACACTCATCAGCTGTCATATCTTTTTTTTTTTAAAGATTTAATTTACTTATTTGACAGAGAGAGAGAGATCACAAGTAGGCAGACAGACAGTCAGAGGGGGAGGGGGAAGCAGGCTCCCTGCTGAACAGAGAGCCTGACACGGGGCTTGATCCCAGGACCCTGAGATCAGGACCCGAGCTGAAGGCAGAGGCTTAACCCACTGAGCCACCCAGTGCCCCCAGCTAACATATCTTAAAAAAACTTATTTAATCCGAAGGTCTTCATGATGATTGAATAAGACAAAGCCTGTAATCTGCCTTATCCTCTTCCTCTTTAAGCAGTCCCTTTAAACTCAGGACAGTAGAGAAACATCAGAAAGACAGAAGCATGACTTGCAATATGGAAGCACAAAAGTTCTACTTCTTGAGGAATCTTCTTTCCAAGTGTGGCTGACTCATTCCGGATTCCTCTTAAACTGAAGGAAGTGTCTCTCATACATGCTCCCATAATGCAACAAACCAAAATATGGCAGCATAATTCTGGATGATATAAAACAAAATAATAATGCTGTGGCCAGAATATTAACAGTATCTTAATGATAGCTACTATTTTGGGGTCACTTATTAACTGTCAGCCATTGTGCAAAGCATCATATAGACATCATCTGATTTATTCCTCACAAAAACTCTTTGAGGTATTATTATATTATCACCATGCCCATCTTATAAATGAGAAAACCAAGGCACAGAGATTAAGTAACTTGCCCAAGAAGACAGATCATAAATACAGGGGTTGAGCTTGGAACCAGGTCTAGCTGAGGGTAGAAGCCAAACCTTTAACTTCTGTAACATGCAGTTTCCTTTTACAGTAGATAGCATAGAGCTGGGCCCTGATGACTCCCTAATAAATATAACCAACAATGCTCTATTTTGGTTACTGCCTTTTGAAATTTTATTTATTAACCATCTTTTTTTTTTTAATGGCATAAAGAACTAAGTATGGCTTATTACTTCATTTTAGGAATACTCTCAAATCCTTGAGACTAGGAAAATTCAGAAAAATCTTAGGTTGGTATACACAATCATGAAAATTATCTATTTCCTCCCTATTTTATTTAAACAAAATTTAGAGACTCCAGTAACATCACTGTTTTTTGTCTCTAATGGCCATAGGGCAAATAATCTAAACTTTTTGAATGAATGCTCTCGAGAGCCAGACCCTTTTCCTCTTTCCTACTTGAAAAAACAACTCTTTAAAAACATTTAACAGCAGGTTTTAGTTCGGTATACAACATTAGGTTTTCACGCTATGGCAAAGATTCTGCATTTGAATTCTGATTCTAGCGCTGTTCATCTACTACTCCCTGCAGCAGAACCTTGATCTAGTTACTACTCTCTCAGAATCTCAGTTCTACTTTTCTTAAGATGAATCCACTGAAACAGACAATTAGTAAAATCCATTTCATTTACCACTGAGATTCTTTAATAAACAACTGAACTTCTTTTATCTTTCCCTAGTGAGTTAGGATCACAAGTAATCCTTAGTATTCAATACAAACCCCCATCAAGGCTCCGGGATGCCCGTTTGCTTGCTGTACGCTCGAAGTGTGGGGCAGGCCTGTCAATCAGGGCGCTAGCTTGCCTGGTCTGCGCCTGAGTCCGGCCACTGTATCGAAATTTGGATCCCAGTGCAAGAAATTTGCTTTTAGGAAGGGTGTCTGTAGATGTCAATCTAGGGGGGAAAAACATAATTATATGTATTACCTCACTCTAATGAGACTGGGAGAATAAAGACAAAAATCATGAATTAATCTCATGGTTTCCTTACAGTTACTAAGACAGAGTTCCAAACAAGCAATCGTTCTTTTAATTCTATGTCACTTCTCAAAGCAACATGTATCATTTAACTGTGGCCTATATTAATCATATCATCATATATCCCTATAGGAAGGGCCTTATGGTTTTCAAAATGCTTTTATTACACTGTAATATTTTCATTACATCCATGTAATATTTTCATCATTTTACAGATATAAGAAACTGAACTTCCAGAAAGAAGTTACTGCTTTAAGCTCACATAGCTGGCAAAAGATTGGGCAATAACAGGGTCTAAGCCCAGAGCACTTTTTCCCACTCTATTAAAATAATTTTATCAAATGCACTCCAAACTCAATTAGTGCCTGTTAAGCTATTTAATAGGCTATTTGGTGTATGTATTGCAGTTAGGAACCCCATCCTCTTTCTGTGCTATATCCTCTAATTCTTTCGCCAAGGCATTTACTGCACTGACCTAAAACAATCTATGTGCTAGTCTCCACTACAAGGTTGTGGGCTGTCTACGGGTAAATGATAACGACTATGATTTATTTACCTTTGTGTTTTCACTCCTGGCATAGTGCCTGCCATGAATTTGCCATTCAATAAGTGTTTGCTGAATAAATACATAAATTGCTACATCAAATACTACCAAAAAGAGAGTACTTTTTCCTTTTGGGATAGTTTATTTTAATTCAGCAAATATTTATTTTCTTTTGTGTGATGAAGAATCGCATATTAATATATTCTCTTATTGTCATTAAACATATTTAAACATGCTGTCCTACAACTGAGAGATAGTGAGAGAGAGAGAATGTAAGCACACATAAGTGGGAGGAGGGGCAAAGGAAGAGAATCTCAAGCAGACTCCTTGCTGAGTGTGGAACCCGCCATGGGACTCTATCTCACGACCCATGAGATCATGACCTGAGCCAAAACCAGCAGTTGGATGCTCAACCAACTGAGCCATCCAAGTACCCTCTACCCTTACCCTTTATAAAAACTCCATTCTTGGTTTGATTTTTAAAGAAAAGCATAATAAAAACATAAAGAAATACCTCAATGCCAATAATTAAGATTCCTTAATTGGTTATGAAGTGTACCTTCATATTTATTCTGAAATGAGAATTTAAATGTTCTTTTCCCGGACACTTCTTCCTGTCTACTGTGCTATAGTGCTAAGTATGATACGAGAACACAAATAGAAGTAAAAGATATTGTAGTTATCTCTCTTGAGATCCATTCATAAAGAGCCAAGTTTATTTACAAATGACATGACATGAGATCCGGGATTTGCTTCCAAATACTCTGGGAAGGAGTGGGAGGAATGGGTAAGGATATAGATGAAACAAGATTGGCCTTGGGATGATAATATTGAGGCTGGGTGTGGGTACAAGGGTAGTTCATTATACCACTTTCTTTACTATGACCATGTATGCAATTTGCAATAATAAAGAATTTTTTCTTTACAAGGTAAGCTGACAGTAACTAGCTGGCTCTCCTTTCAGTGCAGGTGATTACTTGTCTACAGTCTGTCTTGTCTGCGAGATTAACTGTTTCCTCAGGACAGGGACTGGAACTATCTTGTGGTATACTCTCACTGCCTACTACAGCACCTACACAAAGGATAAGCACAAAGAAAATGTTTGATAGATGAATACAAGGGGTAAATGATGTGGCCTCTTGAAAAGCAGAGCACAGAGGGCCCTGGGTGGCTCAGTCATTAAGCATCTGCCTTCAGCTCAGGTCATGATGCCAGGGTCCTAGGATAGAGCCCCACATTGGGCTCTCTGCTCAGCAGGGGGCCTGCTTCTCCCTCTCCCACTCGCCTTGCTTGTGTTCCCTCTCTCGCTGTCTCTCTCTCTCTGTCAAATAAATAAATAAAATCTTAAAAAGAAAAGAAAAGCAGAGCAGAGCAGATGAAACTTTCTCCTATTTTCTAATTATCTGATACAATTGGCCTTCAAAGACAGTTCTCTGTGCCTCTTTTCCCGGGTTGATTAGAGCCAAGATAATGATCAGCTTCCTACCTTTCACCTTCTAATATAACAGCCCTACAGAAAGTAGTTAAGTACTGCTTCAAGAAATTCCATGTGGAGGTAAGTCAGGGTACTTCCCCCTCACAGACTGATCTTAGCTCCAGTTAGGATGATCACAGAGCCCCTAGTAAACACAGATTCCTTTTCCTCCTTTCTGTTCTCCTTCTACCACACACAGAAAGGTGCTCTGGGAATGGTAGGGCATATTTTTCAACCCGAGGGAGGAGAACTGGATTCATTTTATGTTGCTTAAAATGATCTCACCTGAGCTAAACAAAAGAATGCCAGCCATACAAAGAAGGAAATTTCAATAGCAGGTTTAAAATAGAAACATGCATAAATAATTTATCCCTGAAAAATACTTAAGTGAGAAGAATACCTGAAAAATGTGTGATGTTCTACGCAGACTTTCCATAATTTCTTAGCTGCTCGGTAACTGGGAAGTTTGAATCCAATGGTACTCTCATACTGTTCTTGCTATAAAAACATGAATAAACATGAAACATGATTATTTGACTAAAGTGATCCAGTACCAGAGAAATATGCTGTAACAGAAGAGGACTTATAAATGAAAAGAATGTTATCGCTAGTCTAAGAAATTGAAATCTTTCAACTGAAATTGAAAATTTTCATTTGAAATTTTTTCCTACTTACCAAAAGAGATCTACTCACTTAAGGTGGCTTTTTCCACAACAGAGAAGCCAGGAAATTCATCTTATATTATTTATGCATCTTATTTGCATATTTATATGCATCTGAACCCACTCCCCCTACAGACACACACCACACACACACATACGCTATACATTTTTCTGAGACATAATTAAGTGACCTTTTGACTGTCCAGACATTAGTCTTCCTTGGTCATTGTCTACATTTGGGATATTTGACTACAATATGATCAGGGAATGGGATAACATGATTCCTCCAATCAATCAATATTATTATGCAACTGTTTTTTGTAATAGGAGCTAAAGATTTTGGCTCAAACCAGATCCCTGAATTATTAAATGTTTTCTCTTTTTTTTCCTTTGACTGACCACTAATTTATCTGGAGATCTCTTTGACTAAAGCAAATCATAACCTGCCAAGGATACGAGAAACACTGTCCTGTTAGTGTTTTGCCTCTTTGTTTCTAACTTAAGCATACTTTATAAGGAAAGAAATTGACATTTAAATATTTATATTTAGTGCCTATTATTACCAATAATACTATGATTAGATAGTATCATCCACATTTTACACACAAAGAAAGTAAGATCAGAGAAGTTATTTGCCCAGTCTCTTAGCTATCAAGTGGCAGACCCAGATTTTCATGATTTCATGGTTTCTACTATACCATACTACTACTGTATAGTGTAGACATAACATTCCACATCTCAATATCCTATTGTTGTTCCTAATTGCTTTCTTCAATAAGAATTCTGTGTTTTAGTACCTATAATATAGTTGACATTCAAAAAAACCAAGGACTTCCTTTTATCGTATTTGTCTGTGTGTATGTGTGTGTGTAAATTTTCTGCCTTCCCACATTAAAATATTAAGATTGGTTAGGGATGAACTATTTTGTTCATTATTATATTCCTAGACCTTAGAATAGTGCCTGGCACAAAGAAAGCCCTTAATTAATAAATATTTGGTGACCAAATGCCTCTTAGATTTGAAACTTTTGAGGGAAGACATTGACTCCTCTTTGCCAGGCACAGGTAAATAATGAGGACATTAAATAAATGCCTCATTGAGCTTATCCAAGATTTTTAAGGCTGCACATCCAGTATTTCCAAGTTAAAATAACAAGCCATTTTCCACCAGTAGATGGTGATACACACACAAAAAAAGCCTCATTACATTAGTGCATTCTTTCTCTTTTATAGCTGTCACCTCATTTGATCTTCAGATCAACTATGACAGAGAAGGAATTATCCCACTCAAATGATAAGGAAGCTGAGCCCTAGATCTGTCCTGGATATTTTGCTTAGTAGTGGCAGAGACAGAGTAGGAGCTAGAACTTTTTAAAATTCCTACTTAAATAATTTTCTGCTGTGCCATGATGATTCCTTACTGTAAAAGTTAAGTTTGGTCAGCATTAGTATGTCCTAAATCTTGAACACCAACTAATAACTGAATGGCCTGGATGAGGTGAACATCCAACTCTATTAAAAATCTAGAACTTGACCTAGAATACATTCTTAGTAACCACTAGAAGCTACACATACAAATAAATCTTAATTACATGAGGTAAGGTGTTGGTGGTACAAAATATGAGTATCTTAACCCCACAACTTAAAAATCTCCTGCTACTTAATTTGTAAGTATTTATATATTTTTTTCCATCAAGATTTTACCTGTAGTAAACAAGGAACAAGTTTATCAATCCAAGATTCACTTCTGGCCATGGTATATTTACTTTTATACAGAGAAATGTCCAGAAGAACAGTAGGAAGACAAGAAGCATTATGGGGCTGATTAATTTAGAGAACAGAATGACCAGCTCCTGAACAGTTAGCTACAGAGAGACATCTTAGATGACATAATAAGAAAAACAAGAATGAAGAGATGTTTCCAACACGGTCCATGCTTGATTCAGGAGGAAAGAAGCATAAATGCTGTACCTCTCCAGGACGGATCTTGATGAAAAAGCTGCTACGTTTGTAAGAAATCTTCAGCACTTTGGGCCAAGGGAAGCGGTTAATTCTCAGCTTATCTTTATAAACCAGAAGGCCACTAGAGCAGACACCTAGGATGATATCCACTCCTTCCAAGTCCTGAAATAGAAAAGTGTTAGCAGTTCAGTCTTCAGCATAGTGCTCAACACACGGTTTGACTATTATTTGATAATCTGAAGATATCGATAACCAAAAACACTTACAAAGCATATATGGAAAAGTAAAGCTTAACCTTATAATCATAATCCATGGGAGTACTGAGTCCATGTAAAAATGTTACCATACCACTGTGAGTGAACATCTGCTCTTCTCTTGTCCAAGAAACATGGATGTACATATCTTACCCACTAAAGGAACTAAGTCCTAGAAGGAGCAATGCAGCCGCCACCGCCACCCCTTAGAGCCACCATGAAATGTCATTGGGCTTTCACCTCATGTAACTTTACAACACTTTTCCCATAAAACTGAGCCTATGTATCCACCAAAAAGGTGTTCCTTAATAATCCAACAAGAAGGGGGCACCTGGGTGGCCCAGTTGGTTAAGCAACTGCCTTCGGCTTGGGTCATGATCCTGGAGTCCCAGAATCGAGTCTCACTTTGGGCTCCCTGCTCAGCGGGCAGTCTGTTTCTCCCTCTGACCTCTCCCCCTCATGCTCTCACTTGCTCTCTCAAATAAATAAATAAAACCTTTAAAAAAATAATCCAACAAGAGACACTCATCTGCTTTTACCATGCTTGTCTGCATATGAAAATTCTAGGGTAAACATTCATGTTCTCATTTTGGTCTCCCAGTTCTAAAGTACTCAAACCTGTCACTATCATATAGTCAGTAAATAATTACTATGGTAACTATAGTAGCTATCTACATCCTATACCTGTAGGTATAGACCATATGACTTCTGGAGGCTAGGGCTGAGGACTACGTCTACTACCCAATATGCATGCATAATCATAATTTTTTAATGATAATATGTTCATCCAAAAATCATAAGGAGTTGACACTATTCCTGTATAAACTCAATATGAATCTCAGACTCTCATAATTATTGACATTAAGTATATTAAATTATAAATATTATACCAAAGTCAAGAAGGAACAGCAAGATAAAGCCACATTTCTATGCCTCCTTAGTAATTTTTAAAAATTAAATATATTATAGTATTAATCATCTGTGTCTGCAAATAAGGAAAATAAAACCCAGAGTTAAATGTTTCTCGACTATTCCTTTTCCCAAATTGAGTATAGAGAAACATGTTAGTGTCTGTATGTATTATGTACAAACATAAGAGAAGTAAAAATTATTAACAGCTCTAACTCGATGACTATATAACTGAGAATTAAGATGCCCTCTTAAGTTCTTAAAGCCTGGGGGTACAACTATATCTCTCCCTTAATTATATGTTTTAGAGAAACAATTTGGTTTACATTTGGGAAAGGAACAGGCTGCTTGACTTCTTCATCTATCCCTGATAATTTGCATCGACATCAGCCTACAGCAGGAATTGAGAAGCAAAACCAAACAATTTCAGTTCCGATTTTTCTACCATCTACTTCAGAGATTCACAGAGGCACCCAGGCCAAAACAATCCAGAGCAACATTTTAAGAAAAACAACTAACGTGCAATGAAATTTTATTAGATTTAACAGAATCTAAAGAAGGAAGAATCTTCAGGTATCAGCTTCAAGGTGGGAGACTGAATGCTCACTACCTTCCAGTCTACGATAGGTAGAATAATCGCTTGGCAGGAATTTAGAAAAAAGGACATTCAAACATCTGGTGTGTGATTGGACTAATAGGACCTTTCATGGTGTAGGCCTGAAATAATTGCTACGGTAGCTAGGGGCTCATTCCATCTTAGAAAAGTTCTGACTGTTAGGCAATTTGTCAAACTATGCTGAATAGCATTTCCCTGTAATTCCCATTTTACTAACTCTAGTTTTATATCTGGAGCCATAGTAAAAATCGTTCCAATACACAAAGACAGGTTTTATGTCGTCCCTAAACTTTCTCTTCTATGGGATAAGTATCCCTAATCCTTTGTTTTCTCACTGGACATGGTTTTGAGTCCCCTTGTCATACATCCTAGTTAAGTTCCTCTAAATGAACCTCACATACACCACGTGGCCACCCCCGGCCTCTTCAGTAGGTGAAGATGAGAGAAGTTAAGCAACTTCCCTTAAGTTTATCCTGTTACGTTGTACTAGGCAGAACTAGGATTAAAGCTCAGGTTTCCAATCCCTAACCCAGCACTTTCCAAATGAACCACTGTGGTTCATCCTATATGCATTAGAATCCCCCGGAGAGCTTGTGAAATCAGATTGCTAGGCTCTGCCTGCAGCATTTCTGATTCATTAAGCCTGGGATGGGGCCTGAAATGTGCATTAGTTTTTTCTTTTCCTTTTTCTTTTCTTCTTCTTCTTCTTTTTTTTTTTTTAAACTTGTCTTTTAGTTTTATTAGCGAGACTGGGAGAGGGATGGCATTTCTTTCTTTCTTTTTTTTTTTAAAGATTTTATTTATTTATTTGACAGACAGAGATCACAAGCAGGCAGAGAGACAGGCAGAGAGAGAGAGGAAAGCAGGCTCCCTGCCAAACAGAGAGCCCGATATGGGGCTCAATCCCAGGACCCTGGGATCACGACCTGAGCCAAAGGCAGAGGCTTTAACCCATTGAGCCACCCAGGTGCCCCAGGGATGGCATTTCTAAAAAGTTCCTGGATGATGCTAAATGCTGTCTTAGGAGACCGTACTTTAAGAACCACTACCTTAGGCCAATAAATGGTCCTCAGATTCAGGTGTGAATGAGAGTAATTTGACATGTTCATTCAACTTGGAGCTCTAGTGTCTTGTCCTATGTAATTCAGTAAATCTGGGCGGACCTTCAGAATCTGCATACTTAATAAATGCTCCAGCAATTCTGATGTAGGTGATGTTAGTTGTGAAACATGCCTAGATGCTACTTTGTATTTTCAAATGCATCTGCATTTTAGGAAAATAGCGCTTCTTCTGCTGTAGGTGAAATATCTTTGATCCTTATAGGGGCTTCAGTGTGAAACTTCATGCTGACAGTGGAACTGCAAAGGGGCAATTCAAATTATACACTTAAAATTCTAACAAGAGGGCGCCTGGGTGGCTCAGTGGGTTAAGCCGCTGCCTTCGGCTCAGGTCATGATCTCAGAGTCCTAGGATCGAGGCCCGCATCGGGCTCTCTGCTCAGCAGGGAGCCTGCTTCCTCCTCTCTCTGCCTGCCTCTCTGCCTACTTGTGATCTCTCTGTCAAATAAATAAATAAAATCTTTAAAAAAAAATAAAATAAAATTTCACAGCTTTAAAAAAAAAAAAAAATCTAACAAGAACTATCTCTTCTGAATGTTTTATAATACCCCAGATAAAAGTTGGCAACAAGTATTATATGACCCAGGTCTGACACATGTATATTAATAAAGGCCAAAGATATCATTCATTACCTTTGCTTTATGAAGGTCAACACCATACATAGATAACTTTTTGGCATTCTCAAGAAATTCCAGATCAGCTTGAGCTGGAGTCATGGACCTTTGGTAGAATAAAAATTAGAAATTCAGCATCACAATGCCAACTTTTATAATAATAACATTTGTATATTAATTGCACTTTATATAAACACATACACATACACATAACCAATATATATATGGATACATTTCATAGTCCTCAAAGTAAAATATTAGGGAAAAGAATTCTTATCACTACCTGTGTCTAAATCACTGAAATATGTCTGAATAAAAAGAGATCTTGGAGAAAAGCAAAGTCACCAAAAAAACTATTAGAAAAAAGGTTTTAAAAAATATCCTGCTAAACAATGTCCTTAAACCTGCCTCACCACCATCAGGTCTACCCCTCCCTCTCCTGAGCCTTTTTCTCTAACACACACAATCTCCTCCCACAAATTTTTCTTGCCAAGGAGGTGACCAAATTAAATCCTCTGAGGGCATGGTACAATTTAAAATATCCTCTTAGCTGCCTTTTTCTTTCCATACTCCTGAATTATTATGGAAATTAAACAGGAGGGCAGCTGAAGTTACTTAACTGGAGACTCTTAATGGGGGCAGGCTTGATGAAAAGAAATCTTCTGGTAACAGATGGTGTCCTGCCCACTAACCTAAACAAAATAAATTGGTTAATAGAAGCATGTAGATAATGGGGCTGCTTTCTCTGTTATTAAGACGTCTTCATTACTAGGCACATAATGAATTAGATTTGTTTGAAAACAGTCTCACTGTCTAAATGCTCACTGTGATGGTCTTTCCTTCTCCTTTATAACTTTCCCCACTTTTGAGAAATGCTCATGACCTGTTATGTTGAAATCTGAAGAGAAAGATATCACTCTCATGCTACACAATTCAGGCTAATCAAATCTAACTTCATACTAACAATAATGCTGCCACACCCCCAAAGAAAAACGGTGTAAATGCCTGTTTCCCAGAGGACTGCCTTAAACTAAACAAAGCAGCAGTGGCCTATTCATTTAACAGAAGAAAGTCTCTTCTAAACCCATCTGTCTTTACCCTCATTAAAAAGAACAAAATGTTCCTTGGAACGACAACCAAAATCTCAGGAGACAGTCTGCAGATTTGTTAATGACTCAGCCTCCCCAAATAAACTTTCTTTTCTACAAGCACTAAATCATCACACCTGAGTTCTATTTTGTAGTCTAAAATTGAACACACGCAAAAAAAGGAGAATGGAAAATTAACACATACGCAAGACGGTGAGTTCTAGTCAGTAAAAACGTCTCAGGAATGGGGCACCTGGGTGGCTCAGTCCGTTGAACCACCAACTCTTGGTTTCAGCTCAGGTCATGATCCCATGGTCCTGGGATTGAGCCCAGTGATGGGTTTTGCCCTCAGCCTGGAGTCAGCTTGGGATTCTCACTCTGCCTCTGACCCTTCTTTCTTTCTCTCCCTCTTTTTCAAATAAATAAAATCCTTTTTTTTTTTTAAAGCATCTCAAGAAAGTTTTATAGGTTCTTTTTTTCTCCATATAAAGTTATATACTTTTCTAGTTAAGGTTACTTCCAACCATTTTATAGTTTTTGTTATTGTTACTATTATCAACGGCTTCGATTTTAGGATTTTGAAGGTTGAATGGGGCTCGAAGATTATAGAATCCAACACTTTGATTTTGCTCATGAAGAAATAAGGCCCTGAGGGATCACACAGTCATGGGCAAGTTGTGACTCTTAAGTTTAAGGCAGCAGGCTTTAGTCAGGCCTTCAAATCATGTTACTCATGCTGGAATCATGCCTCCTGCACCTAAGAGTAGTGACCTGGCGTCTCCCTCAATCTCCTATCTATAAAGTAGGATCCATGATAATACCTAATTCCAGAGACTAGGATAGGCAATCACTTTTTTTATCCTTGCTGAATGAATGAATGTGACTAAGTAGGATAAAATGAGATAATGGTTGTGAAACTGCTCTTCAAAATATACATGTTTATTATTATTGCAACTTTAGGTTTCTTTTATAAAATTTTTTAATAATTATTTTTTAATAGAATTTTTTATAAAATAAATTTTATAAAAATTTATTTGAGAGTGAGAGCGTGTGTGAGCAGGGGCGGTGAGGGCAGAGGGAGAAGAGAGAATCCCAAGCAGACTCACTACTGAGTGCGGAACCGACTCAGGGATCAACCCTATGATCCCGAGATCATGATCTGAGCCAAATCAAGGGTCACCCATTCAACTGACTGAGCCACCCAGGCACCCCTGAAACTTTAAGTTTCTGATGATAGTACAGTGGAACATCTATATACAATTCATAAAAGAGAAAAATTTTGATCACCTGAACTTGAAGACAAATTTTAAAGCATTATATGTGGCAATCGTGAGAAAATCTTTTCTATAGTTACTCCTCCAACCCTAAAGGACATTAACAGCACAAATTTAAATACAGATTTAAGCTTCAAACTATGTATTTAAACACTTCTCTAACCAAGCATGCTTTAAAATTAAGCTAAGGGCAGGAACACCTGACTGGCTCAGTTGGAAGAGCATGCAACTCTTGATCTTGGGGTCATGAGATCAAGCCCCACGTTGGATGGAGATTACTTAAATAACTATGTATTTTAAATACATACATACATACATAAGATTGTATTGAGGGTAGGTAGTAAGATCTTTAACTTTAAAACTATTAATTTCCTTGTCAGTTGAAAATAATACTTATATTTGAAGTTTGTCTGATGTTTAAAACATGCTTAAACTTAGAAGTTACCTACAATGCAAATCCTTTTTTCCTCAACTACCTGAGAGCAAGCTGTTAACCTGATGACCCATGGCTCCCAACATTTCAATGTGTAATTCCTACAAACAAGGACAGTCTCCTATATAATCTTAATACCACCATGAAAAGCAAGGAATAATTTTTAATACATTACAGCTATCCAATCCTCAGATCTCACTCAGGTTTAGCCGGTTGTTTAAAAAATGTTCTGTACAGTAGAAAGGCCCAGTTTAGTTAGCATCATGAGTTTTATTTAGTTCATGTCTCTGGTCTTATTCAGTCTGGAGCAGTTCCTTAATCTTTCTTTGACTTTCATAATCTTGACCTTTTGAGGATGACAGGCCAGTTATTCTATAGAATGCACCTCAATTTGGGTCTGATGTTTCTCCATGAGTTGATTCAGGTTTTGCATCTTCGAGAAGAATAGCACAGAAGTGGCTCTGTGTTCTCACTGTCTCCTACCAGGTGGTAGGCACACAATTTCACTTTGTCCCTTCATGGATGATGCTCGTTTTGATCACTGATGTCTGCCAGGCTTCTCTTCTGTGAAATTCCTCTTTATTTCTTTGTAATTAATAACCATTTCATGGAAACATATATGACTTTTATAATCAGAAAAAGCTTCCTGAAACAACCACCGCATGTGGATGGCCTCCCCCTGATGCAGGCCTTACCCCCACATGGATGCCCTTCTCAGTCTGCTCTCCCTCTGGTAACTACCACCACATGCCCACACACACGACTACTCTCTGTGCATGTTTGAGCTCTGACTCCTCATGCCAAGCTGGCCCCCTACCTCTGAATACTCTCTTCACCCTGCTTAGACCCAATATCCCTGGCCAGACTGCCTCTCTGCATGCATGACTACCTTGCTCTACCCTACCTAATGGCAAAACAAAATTGTTTCAGGAAGCTTTTTCTGATTATAAAAATCATATACATTCATTGTATAAGCACATGGTTGGGGGGAGAGAATCTCTCATAACCCCTTATGCACAGAACTGTACGTGTAAATATAACGCATATATTTTACAAATTTAATAACACAAATTATTTTCAACTTAAAATTTTAAAGATCATGATTTCGCCTAGATTTTCCAAGATTCTTCAAGTATAATAAACTAGCTGGGAGGAGGTTAGATACCTTTAAGCCACTAAGAATTTATTCAGTACCACCTAATAATTTACTACTTGAAAGCTTACAAAAGTATCTAACCAGAAAGCTCTGGCACTGGTTAACTCTTGCTCATTAAAAAGAGAAGTTATAACAAAGTTTCTCTGTTTTTATTTTGAGCAAGTGGGGTCCGGATACAGAGCCATTCAGTGAGTTCCAATGTTATGTGACAGCCTTTTAATAATGTTTGTTACATCCCCTAATTAAGGACTGAGATTTCAAATAATTAAGTGGGGGACAACTGACAAGTTTACATACTTTCCTACTACCCATAAATGGAGGGCAATTAATTTTAAAGCTTGATTTGCTAGTATAAATTTACAGTGTTAATTATAACTTCAAAGTCTCTATCTGGGCAAAGGGCCACTAACTAAGGGTTCGGTGTACGTAGGCGGTCTTCTATTTATCTGAGAATAGGGTGGTATTTGCTTGTACTTTCCAATGCATAGTAAAATGCTTCTGCCTCGGCAGAAGTTTCTCTGGATTAGTTAAAATGCCATGTTGTTGGTCATAATTAAATTTTCCATTTGGCTTTCTGTTTATAAATGATGCCAATCTTCCCCAAAAGGAGCAAGTAAATTCCAAGATGTCAGAGCTCTACATTTTCTAGTCATGGAGATCCATTTTGCTTAATTTCTATCCATATACCTAATAGAATTTCAACTGGACCATATTCACCTGTCTTTTGAGACCATTTCACTTATTTAGGTTTAAATTCTATTTAAAGTTGCCAAAAAGTAGCTCTCTAAACCCATTCACATCCATCACTTGTAAAATGGGGTTAAGAATTATTATCCTAGGGGCGCCTGGGTGGCTCAGTGGGTTAAAGCCTCTGCCTTCAGCTCAGGTCATGGTCTCAGGGTCCTGGGATCAAGCCCCGCATCGGGCTCTCTGCTTGGCGGAGAGCCTGCTTCCTCCTATCTCTCTCCCTGCCTCTCTACCTACTTGTGATCTCTCTCTATCCAATAAATAAATAAAATCTTTAAAGAAAAAAAAAAGAATTATTATCCTAGCAAATACTCTCACCATGTCGTAGTCACTATGTGAAGCACTTCACATTTTTAACAATCACAAAATTCATATCATTACCCTTATTTTTCAGATGAGAAAACTGAAGCTTAGAGAGCTTAACTCATTTAGTGAAAATCAAAAAGTTAATAAGGAATGGAGCCTGTTAGGTTATGGACATTGGGGAGGGTATGTGCTATGGTGAGTGCTGTGAAATGTGTAAACCTGACGATTCACAGACCTGTATCCCTGCAGCAAAAAATACATTATATGTTAATAAAAATAATTAATAAAAAAAATAAGGAATGAAGTCTGAATTCAAAGTACAACAGACTAATTCCAGAGCCTATGCTTCTATCTCACAGTGGTTCTCAAACTTTTTTACCTTAGGATCCTTTCACTCTCTTAACAATTGCTGAGGCCTCCAAAGATCTTTTCTTTATATGGGTTATATCTATCAATACTTACTACATTAGAAATTAAAACTAAGAAAATTTTAAAATATTTATCAAATCTTTAAAGACTAACAATAAGTTCATATTTTAATATTCATAACTTTTTTGTGTGAAAAATAACAATATTTTCCCAAAAGACAATTAAAAAAAAAAAAGGTTAGCTGGATTCTCCTAATGCAGACTAACATAACTGAGGGTGCTACTAACTCAAGGCCAACATCAGATATTCATGTTAATAAGCTAAGGAAGCCTGTAAAATTTAGTGTTAGCAAGCCCCTCAATTAACCATGGGATGTATAGTAGGAAGAAACACAAATTATTCTGCCACTTTAATATTAGCCAACATTTATTGAATTTTGACAATGTATAAGACACTGTATTAAGTTTTTCCTCAGGGACTCCTGGGTGTCTCAGTTGCTTAAGTGTCTGCCTTTGGCTCAGGTAATGATCCCGGGTTCTAGGACTGAGTCCCACACTGGGCTCCTTGCTCAGTGGGGAGCCTGCTTCTCCCTCTGCCTGTTGCTCCCCTTGCTTGTGCCTGCATTCTCTCTATATAACAAATAATAAAATCTTTTTAAAAAAAAGTTTCTCCACATAATACCTTTTCTAGTCCTATCCATTGCCGTATTTCCTCTGAGGTAGTAAGTTCCATCAGAGATACAAGGAACTTGAGGCTCAGAGAGATTAAGTGAATAACTCAAGGTCACAAGGCCAGAACCAAGCAGAGCCAAGATCTCAACCCAGGTCAGTCTGACCATATGTCCTTGCTTTTGATCACTTTGTTATGATACCTCTCAATATCACCAATTATTTCCATGGAAAAAAGGATTGAATTTAATAAAGACTTTTCAAAATACCCTCAGGGGTTTCATGGGTCCTCTGGAGTCTATCCATGTACACAGATCTTAAGAGCCCCTACTTTAAGGATCTTAAAGTACCTAATACAGCATAATAAGTTAAAAATCTGAAAAAAAAAAAAAAAAAAAAAAGTAAAGCAACAACAGCATTTATTGAGCACCTACTGTGTGCCAGACACAATGCTTAGTGCTTTACATCTATCACCTCATTTAGTTTTCACCCTTCAACAACACCTGTTACTCTGAGGAGAAAACTAAGGTTCGGAGGGGTTAACTGACTTGCTCAAAGTCGAACAGTGAAGGGCTTGAGCTGACTCTACAGCACCACATCCCCTCTAAGGCAAACACTGAATCAAAACCAGGCCAACGGTTTAAACTTCTTGCCAAAACAAACACAGAAAAAAACCTGAAGACACATTTACCTGTATGACTTATGGAGTTCCATGACCTTCTCTTCAAGTTCCTTGGTCTGATTTGGGGCCAGTTTAAAATCACTAACATAATCGGCACCGTGAAGTTCTGGGTCATAGTCTCCCAGCTCAGACTGGATGGTGTAAGAACCTAATAATGCTAAGGTTGCAAAGGAACAAGGCAGATGTCCTGCAACTATGTCCTTTCGAAGCTGAAGGCATAAATAATATCTACAGCCAAAAGAGAGAAAAATGTTACCATGTCAGCAACAATAAAAACAAAATATACAGAAAGAGGAAGAAGGGAATGAGAGGGAGGGAAGGAGGGGAAAAAACAAGAGAGATTAAATAAGCATGAAATAATATTAATAACTATTCAATCTAGGTGGTGATTATATGATTGTTCATCGTATTATTTTTTCTTTTCTGTGTGCTTAAAATTTTTCCATGTAAAACATTAAAAACAACAATAACCACCCTATAATTATGTTGGACTCATGTCCAGAAGGCAATTTAGAAAAAGGAAGTCACTAAGAGAGGAGATCTTAAAAGTTCTCATCACCAGGAAAAACATTTTTGTAATTATGTATGGTGATGGTTGTGAACTAGACTTATTGTGGTGATCATTTCATAATATATGCAAATATTGAATCATTATGTTGTACACCTGAGATTATATAATGTCATTTATATTTCAAGAACAAAAAAGGAAGAAAGAAAAGAGGTAAAGTTGGGAAAAGTCCAAAGGAGGTAAAGAAATTAATATTTTATTGAGTACATTAAGTACCATATACACATAAATTATCTCAAATACTTTTCACGAAAAAACTTGTGAAGCGGGTATATCATTACCAGATTACAGATAGAGGGCAGCTTCAAAGGCTAAGCTTGCTCAATGTCATATGGTCATAAAGGCCATTTGGTTCCAAAACTGGACTCTTTATATCACACTGCTGTGCCAAACATGTAGATACTGTCCTTCATATATAAAGATGACATTATTGACATATTTTTACTAAGGTATGACCAGTTTCAGTTCTTTTGCCTTCAAGATGGGCTAAGTGGCATATAGCCTTCCACACACTATCATCTTGTAAGACTGATTCCACCCATGTGCTAAATCATTGGGAATTCAAACTGGGGTTAAAACTGTTCTGTAGAACGAACTCAGCGCACCTACATTAAGTTAGACACTCATCTCTGTCAATTTCATGTTTACATCTATGATCCTGACCTCCTTAGCACTTTTTCTAGCTGAGTTGACCCATACAGACTCTTTTACCAAACAGAAAAGCTGGGAGATATGATAAAATTTAAAATTCCTATATTGATTAGAATTATACCCTTGTTTTTTTTTTTAAAGATTTTATTTATTTATTTGTCAGAGAGAGAGAGAGAGAGAGAGAGATCACAAGTAGGCAGGAGGCAGGCAGAGACAGAGGGAGAAGCAGGTTCCCTGCCGAGCAAGGAGCCCGATGTGGGACTCGATCCCAGGACGCTGGGATCATGACCTGAGCCAAAGGCAGCCGCTTAACCAACTGAGCCACCCAGGCGTCCCTATACCCTTGTTTTGACCATAATAAGATGTTGAATAATGTAGGTATCAACAATCGCTTTTGTTATCTATGATCAGTCATTAGAGGCATGTTTTTTTTTTTAAAAAAGGAATGCCAATCAAATCACAAGGATCTTAAACTCCTCTCAAATGTAGGAATTAGCAAAGAATTTTAGGGATCTGTTCTGTTTTATACATAACCTCAATGAAGAAAGACAAATAAGAAGCAACTCTAAAGACAAATATTACCTGAGAAAAAGAAACAACCAAAACAGTTTTTTTTTCAGGCAGAGATGGTATCCCAACCTCAAGCATGTGCTAAAGATTAACCAGACAAAGAATAATTTTTTAAAAATTTCCCCATACTTGACAATCAGACTTAGAGTTTACTTGGGTTATTCCCTTATTTGAGAGATCTGAAAACTGAGGTACAGAGACTGTATATATGTCTGAAGTCAGACAGTGGACAGCAAAATCAGAATCAGAAAGCAGTTTCTCAGCAACCAACAATTCCATTTAACAAACATTTGCCAAGCACCTAAGTGTATAAGGATCCATGCAAGGTGTTATGGATATAAATATGTACACCGGCATTCTTTATAATAGACTGCTTTTCCATTTTTAAAAAATTAATATTTATATAGAACCCAGTAAAACCCACTTTCCTAAAATCAGGAAGTTGTTTTCAAAGAGTACAAGATTTGTTTCATAAATTAAGTGGGCTTAAACCAGAAGAGACTCCTAATCTCAGGAAACAAACTGAGGGTTGCTGGAGGGGATGGGGGTAGGAGGGATGGGGTGTCTGGGTAATGGACACTGGGGAGAATATGTACTATGGTGAGTGTTGTGAATTGTGTAAGACTGATGAGTCACAGACCTGTACCCCTAAACAAATATATTATATGTTAATAAAAAAATTAAAATAAATTTAAAAAAATTTTTTAAATACTGAGGAAGATTCAGTTCGTGAGGATTATGTACCTAATCATACACTTTGAGAGATAAGAAGAAATCATAATACACACATACATACACACATGAAATAATAATAATTCAGACTTTAGACCTGTAACAGAAAACATGGTAGGGAAGGAGTATTAAAAAGAGAAAGTAGTAGAGCTATTTTATCACGTATATTTTTGTCTTGCCTTTTGGAGTGCGTGTGGTTTATAGGTGCCCTGTACACAGCTTGGCATAGCACCCATGATAAGAAAGGTTAATTTCCCTGCCGATTTCCTCCAGGCACATCACAGATACATGAGGCTTTTAGGCTCACTTATTTGCAAACCTGCCTTGAAGTGACCAGATGCTTTCCATCCTAACAGCACTTCATTTTTCTTCAGTTCTAAATAGAAAAATTCCCAGAGCTTATGATAATGAGAATTACTTGTATAGTTAACTATTAATACATTATTTACCTTGTTATATCTTCTGTTAACTGTGCCGGGTCAGGCGGATAAAATTTTACATTAAATGTGAAATTCCAGGGGACACCTGTAAAAGTAAACACAGAAAGAATTATATACTTAGGGCTAAGTTTCTGATTGTTAGAAGTACCTAAAACATTCAAAGTTTTCTTTTCCTGAGGTTTTTAAAAATATTTTCATGCTTTGTGGGGAAAAATCTGATTTTTATTAAAGAAAGAAAAAGTTATTTAGAACCATTTAAGAGAGTTTGAAAGTGATTTTTTTTCCTCTTTGAGCTCTGTATTAAGTAACTGATATAAAAAGCTTAATAACACCCAGAATTGGTGGGGAAAATAAACAATTACCATCGCTGATACAGGTGTAAGTTGGCACAATGCTAAGGAGAACAATTTGACAACATCTTTCAAAGCATAAAACATATATATTCTTTCATCTCCCAATTCTATTTCCATAAATGTGTCTATACATATGCTTAAATGTGGTCAGAACTGTATATGTATAAGATATTGTTCGTAATAGCAAATGACTAGAGACAATCTAAATATATATTTATTTAGCAAGAGAAGATATATTTCCAAGACAAAGTGTTAGGTGAAAAAAATATCAAGGTCAAGAACAGTTCATACAGAAAGGAACTATAAAGGGCACCTGGGTGGCTCAATCGGTTAAATGTCTGACTTGGTTTCAGCTCAGGTCATGATCTCAGGGTCATGAGATGGAGCCCCTTATTGAGCTCCTTGCTCAGCATGGAGTCTGCTTGGGATTCTTTCCCCCTCCCTCCTCCTGTGCCCCTCCCCTCGCTTGTGCTCACTTTCTCTCAAATAATCTTTCAAAAAATAAAATGAAAATTTCAAAAAAGCAACCATAAATATTGGAGGGTAAGAAGAAGTATATGTTAGGGTATGATTATATATGCATAGATAATCCCTATAAGGATATATACTAAATCAGTTATAGTAGTTGGGAAACTAGGAAAGGGAACTTTTAGAGAGGAAAATGGAGAAGATGGGGGAAATAGAATGGAGACCCATTTTCACTGTATATTCTTTTATACCATTTGAATTTTGTACATGTACTATTTATTAAATATAAATATATAACTTTTTAAAAGGATAATCTCTGTCTCCTCCCACTAAAATGCAAATTACTAGGCATAAGAACTTTTCTGTTTTATTTGGTGTGTATCCCTAGTGTCCAAAACAGTGCTCCATAGATCATAGATGCTCAAGAAATATTTGTTGAGCGAATGAATGAAATAAAGTAACTGATCTCACAGCATTGTTGTGAATGTCATCTGAGGTTGCTACAGCTCCGGGGGCGAGGCGGGGGGGTTACTAATGTATTAAAATTATCCATTAATCCAGATTTACCAAGACCTTATATTACCAGACCTAATCAAATGAAAACAAACAAACAAACAAACAAAAAACCTGTATTCTGGTTCAATTTTTCTCTCCATTTAACCCCAAACAAGGAAGTTTAACTGTATTAGAAATAACCATATCGGGGCACCTGCGTGGCTCAGTGGGTTAAAGCCTCTGCCTTCAGCTCAGGTCATGATTCCAGGGTCCTGGGATTGAGCCCTGAATGGGGCTCTCTGCTCAGCAGGGAGCCTGCTTCCCTTCCTCTCTCTCTGCCTGCCTCTCTGCCTACTTGTGATCTGTCAATAAAATAAATAAAATCTTTAAAAATAAAAAAATAACCATATCTAAAAAGAAATGTTTCAATTATTAACTATTACTTTTGTTAACAGCAATTGTAAGAAGAAGAACCCAAATTTTGAGTTCCTATTCTTTTCCATGTAAGAGATACAGGCTGGCATATTGCTAATGAAGACATTCAGGTTCACTGCAAGCTAGCTCAGGGTTGAATGCAATAGAGAGACTAAAAAAGTTAATCACTTGGAGTTTTTAAAATTATTAAAGTTAAGCTTTAGTCAGTGACTGTTTCTAGAATAGAATACATATAATTACTAATACCTTATGGAGAATATTTAGTGGGGAAAAAAAAGGTGGCTGGAAAAGTTCTTTAAAAAAATCTTAACGTTAAAATTTCTTCCTTTTAACTCAGCAACACATCAGTGACATTCCCACCAAAGTGCATAACCTGAATATTCATGGGCCATGAAAAAAATCAGACACACTCAAAGTGACCACTTAAAAAATAACTATCTGGACTCTTCAAAACTATCAATGTTATAAAAAACGTTAGGGGTGCCTGGGTGGTTCAGTCATTAAGTGTCTGCCTTCAGCACAGGTCATGATCCCAGAGTCCCGGGATCAAACCCCATGTTGGGCTTCCCACTCAGTAGGAAGCCTGCTTCTCCCTCTCCCACTCCCCCTGCTTGTGTTCTCTCTCTTGCTGTGTCTCTCTCTGTCAAATAAATAAATAGAATTTTTAAATAAATAAATAAATAACTTTAAAGACTCAGGAACTGTTCCAGATCAAAAAAAGCCAAAGAGATGTGCCAACTAAATGCAAAATATCACCACAGATTTTCTTTTGCTATACAGAAAATTATTTGGACAACTGATAAGGTCTATAGGTTACAGTGTTGCTTCAATGTTAATTTCCTGCTTTTAATAACTGTGTTACAGCTATGTAAGACAATTCCTACTTTTTAGGATATTTTAGGGGTGGAGAGGGGTAGAGAAGGTAAAGGACTTCTTGCTTTTGCTCTGCACTATTCCAGAAAGAGGTAGAAGTGGATAGCCACACCAAGTAGGGGAGATCTCTCTTATTCACAGCCAAGGGAATTAAGCCGGGAGGAGAGAGAGAGAGAGAGATTGATAAACCTCCCAAGGAGATTCAAATGAATAAATGGGTCTGAGGGAAATTTCAGAAAAACAGCAAAAGCAATACTATCTATGGAATATAGATATGGGTATATAAGAAAAAAATAAATAAAAACATGGACTAAATCACCCCAAATTCATGAAAATAGATTTCTTTGGCTAGGGAGAAAAGAGGACAGGACTAGGAGGAAAACAAAAAAGACAAAACTTACCAGTACTGTCCTATTTTAAGTTGAAAGTGTTAACACATGTTAATTCTGGGTGATGTGTACATGGGTTATTTGTTACATTCGCCTCTATACTTTTCTGTGTGTTTTTAATATGGAAAAAATCCTTCTAGTGAATATATATTTCAATTTTAGATGTTCATTTTTTTGTTCTACTTCTAAGAATTTACCTATAGGAACAAATATGTGTATGCACTTATATGTTATATGAGTGAACCTGAACTTATATAAATGTTCACTGTAACCTTGTTTGTAATAGTGAACTATTGAGAATAACCCAAAATGTCCATCAAAAGGACTGCTTATATATATATTGTGCTACAACTATATAATCAAGAAAATTTTTAAACAAAATAAATTTACATGTGTTGATATGAAGAATACTCCAAATTATGTTAAATAAAAAATATTTGTTGCATATTTATATTAAATACATATTATACCTATTTAATCTATTTATGTAAAATATACATAGTAAAATACAATATGCATGTAAGACATATGTATTAAATACATATTTATATTATAATATGTGTCTGTCTATGTACACTCAGAACATCTCTGGAAAGAACCCAAGGAATTAAAGGATGGGGTAGAAGGGTGATTTACCTTACATTAGATTCATCAGTATCTTTTAATTTTATTCCACATATTTATATCACCTACTTAAACAAAATTTTAACTATATATAGCATACACAAAGCATATATAATATAATGCAATATATAATATATAACAATGTATAACAGTCCCCCCCTTATACATGGTTTCACTTTCCCATGGTCAACCACAATCTGGAAGCAGATGATCCTCTTCACCTAAGACTAAGCCACAATGCCTGCATCATTCACCTCCCTTCATCTCATCACACAGGCATTTTATCACATCACATTATCATAAGAAGGGTGAGTACAGTCCAATAAGATATTCTGAGAGAGAGACCACATTTTATTACAGTATATTATTATAACTGTTCTATTTTATTATAAGTTATTGTTGTTAATCTCTTACTGTGCCTAATTTATAAATTAAGCTTTAAAAAGATACACACGTATAAGAAAAAACACAGTATATATAGGATTTGGTACTATCTACAATTTCAGGCATCCACTGGGGGACCTGGAACATATCTCCAAAGGGGTGGGGGGGGCAAGAATCCTATGCAGCAGAATTCTATTTTTGAAAGGCAAAACTTACATATGCCTAGAAAAAATCTTGTAGCTTATACCAACTTAACAGTGATTGTATCTAGAGGATAGACTTTAGGGGCCTTTTACTTTCTCCATGATATATTTCCACAGTGTTTAAATTTTTCACAATGGGTTTATATGATGTGTGTGAAGAAAAACAGTTTTTTAAAAAAACAAAATTCTTCTCTTTGGCTTAATGAAATGTTTACATTTTGATTCCTTAATTCAGTTTGTGCTACAGATGAGGTTTTCCTTTCCCATGTTACAGAAAGGGTTTTTATTATTTTGTAAATTTTTTTAAAATGACAAATACTGGTTCTTTTTCTTAGCAAGATTTTTTTCCATAGCCAGAGATATAATCTACTAGATATTCTTCTCTACTCATCATAAATTCTGCTTTAAACTTTTCTCCCTAACCAGTCTTCTTGTATAATCATTTGTTCCTAAGTAATACTGAATATTAAAAGAATTTTCATTGACAGGGATTTGGAGTTATGTTTTTCTTGTCCTGCTTCAAATATTCCAAAAATGTATTGCTCTTACTTACATTTTATTTTTTTTAATTTTTTTTTATTATTTATTTGTTTGTTTTTTGCTCTGACTTGCATTTTAAAACAACATTTTATAGTATGAAGAGCTGCCAGTCCAAAGGAGTATTTTGCCTTTCTATCTCAAAGAATATAAATTATAAATAGGGTCTAAAAGAAAACATTTCACTACAGCAAGCTTGTTAAGAAACAAATGAAAAATAAAATCTGTTTTCAGGTGATAGAGCTAAAACTTACTAACCATGATAAATAACCTTCAGCGCAGTTCCTGAAAATTTCCTTATAATAAACCAAACCAAAAAGACATTTAGTTTTAAACAAGAGAAAAAGAATCTCTACCCCTTAGCTAGCCCTTTGGGCCTAGAGCTACAAAATACTAATCTGCACTTTATTCGACCTAGAAATATTTATCTCAGGAGAGCAGTCTGAGCAGGGGTACAACAGTAATATACACCAGAGGGCTTGGCGTTAGGAGAAAAGTCACAACGTCAGAGGGCCATTGGCAAGGAATTCTCATTTTTCTACTAACAGAAGAACTAGTTGGAAGAAGATTGTTGAAAATGGACAAAAAGAACTACAGAGAAGAAAACATGAAGAAGGTTAGAATGCAACTGTCCAGAACAATTTAAAAGGACCAAGACCAGGCAGCAAACTCCTTTGAGAACTAACTCCCATATCCTTTTTCTCTTCTCATCTTTGTTCTTCTCAAACTTGTTTTTCTCAACCATTCCGATCTTCCCCAATTTTGCCTAGTTGTAAAGAAAAAAATATCAAGATCTGCCCTACATCTCAATCGTGTCCACCTCTGCTGTATCTTCTGTCATGGAATCTCCTCCTTCCAAGGGAAGGTTTTATCTCAATTTCAGAGCCACCTGCCATAGCCAGGATTCTAAAGTGACTCATAGCCAGAAAAAGGTGAAAATCATCTGACCTACTAAAAGAAAGAAAGAACTATAAAAAGGGCTATATTCACTTACCACGAACCTGCTTTTTTATTTCTTTGGCAGAATCCAGCCATGTCTGTAAAAAGAAGAAAAGGCATTCACACATAGCTCCAAAACACACAAACCACAGAGCACCACAACAGGATTACTGGCCATTTTCGAATAGATTCTCTAGGTCAAATCAACATTTCTGATATTCTCTGCACTAATTTCACACAGCATAGTAAATGTGAGCAGAGAAACAGGGGGCCAGACGGTTAGGATTGAATCCTACCTCCACTACTTCCTAGCTGAGTCATTTTACACATCTCTGTATCTGTTTTCGCATCTACTAGAGGAAATTAAAATGAGACACTAGTAGTAGAGCCTATCTCATAGGCTTATTGTGAAGATGAAATGAGTTAATATATGTGAATCTTTTAGTAGACGAGAAATGCTAAATAAGCATTTGCTATTTTTATCATTCTATAAAGAGTAGTAGAGATATAACCAGGATTAATAAACATCACCCAGATCTTATTCTTCCCTCCAACTCTGCCCTCCAATTTCATTTAAGTTTTCTATGTCAACACAGCATCTGGTACATGTTTCATACTCAGTTAATATTTACTGGATGAGTGATTATGTTGTTTTCCCTGACTACTCTTGCCCACGCTAATCTCTCCTTTTACTGTTTACCAACCCCACTTAGAGTCTACATGCCATTAGCACAAGGCTCTTCAATTCATAGTGGACCATGAAAAATAATGGCACTTGGAAAGAGCCTCACCATTAACATCTTTTGCAGGCTCCGTGGGAAATGTTTAAAGACAGTAATTCCTAAATTAAATTGTTTAAAATATTTTTATTGATATAAGAGACATAAAGAAACATACCTTAAACATAATTGTATAGATCAATAACTAATCAAAGTGAACACATGAGTTTAACATCATCAGCATCCAGCAACCCCTCTCCTGCTTCCTCCCAATCCCTCTCCATTCCATCTTCCTAAAGGTTTAAAACTGAATTTTAATGATATTTAGAAAAGGAGAGTAAAGTACCCCTCCTCATCCTCTATCAACAAAGACAAAAAACACAAAGTTACAATTCTATCTGCCCTGCCCAAGAAATGAACTTGAATTCCACAATCTTATATTTGATTATATACTACTTTAACTGTTTTATTAAGGTAGTCATCATAAGAGACAATAAGCATGACAGGGAGGATTAATTCCTTTTTCTGTCCCCTTTCCCCACAATTAACACAGAAGATTAAGACATGTGTTAAAAATATACCACTTAATATAAAATTGTTCCTTAGAATAAAAACTAAGCACACATTTGTTTAAGCCCGGTCAGAAAGGCAGTAACCCTCATTTCTCATTATGATTAAAGAACTTTAAGTTGTTGTAGGTCTAAAGGCAAAGGAAGACTTCAAAAGTACCAATTAATAAGTTTCATGGAAACTCTGAGAATCAACATTTATACCACGCCACCCAGAAGTCTTAACAAAGACTACTTCTTACCACTTTGGAATGAAACATCTCTCACCATAATGAGGCAACTCTATATTTTCCACTATTTTTTAGAGAAATCCCCCAAGGTAACCTGAAGCTGCCAAGTTTCTTACAGGGATTTTTCAGCCTTTCTATGACTCTGGAGCTAGAATTCCCACCAATTTGACATAAAGAGGGCAAACCCAAATTTGTATCAGTTACATGTGACTCCACAGTTAAGTGACCTTACCAAACAAATTACTATGGCCTCAGTATCTAGACCTCCAAATCCAAATAAAAAACAATGTGTACAAGAATAGGTACTTTTTTTTAAAGATTTTTTATTTATTTATTGTCAGAGAGAGAGCACAAGCAGGCAGAGTCGCAGGCAGAGGCAGAGAGAGAAAGCAGGCTCCCTGCTGGACAAGGAGCCCGATGCGGGACTCGATTCCAGGACCCTGGGATCATAACCTGAGCCAAAGGCAGCGGCTTAACCGACTGAGCCACCCAGGCGTCCCAAGAATAGGTACTTTTATGCTCAATTTAAATGATTCACTTCACAGCATTTTATTTAGCCAACAGACATTTGAGGAGCGACCCCATGTGCTAGGCAATGTAGTTTCAAGAGGATTCAAAAATAGTACTTGTCCTCAAGGAGATGTCAGTCTAATGGAAGAGGTGGATAGTGAACAATTGATTCGTTCGTTCTAGGTGTGAAAATGAGGATGATAGTGAGGTGTGAGAGCGCTATGAGGAGGGTGTTCTAGGAGCACAGAGGATGTGCACCAAAATGGACTGGGGATAAGAGACAGTTAGGAAATATTTCTCAAGAGAATATTTGGGAGACCTAAACCCCATCTTCATGGACAAACAAGTTAGCCAGGCAAAACAGAAGAGGGAGTAAATAAAAAGGCACATGGTATAAGAGAACATGATACTCAGTTGCTACATGTAGGTGAGCATAGCTGGAACACAGAGGTGAGGAGGGGAGATACAAAACGAAGAGAATGGTAAGGGTCAGATCATGGGGGACACAGTATTTCACAGTAAGAAACTTGGACTTTATCAAATTCCAGACAAGGGGAAGCCACTGAAGGATTTAAAACAAAGGAGTGACATGAATTAGAGGAAGCTGGACTGTAGAAAGGAAGACAAAATGAGGGGTTGCGTTGAGAATGATAATTGTGGTACAGAAGAGAATAATGGTTATGGGTACAGGCTTGGAAGGCATACAGTCTTGAGTTCTAATCCTGTCTCAACTTCTCTACCATTTACTAGCTGTGTAACCTTATATAAGATCATCTAAGTCTCAATTTTCTCATATATAAAATTGGGATAAAATTACCCTCCTCAGGGAGCCTGGGTGGCTCAGTTACCCGTCCAACTCTTGGTTTCAGCTCAGGTCATGACCTTAGGGTCCTGGAATCGAGCCCCACGCTGAGCTCCCTGCTCAGTGTGGAGTCGGCTTGAGAACTCTCTATCTCTGTTCCTCCCTCCACTCGCTCTCTCTCTCTCTCTCTCTCTCTCTCAAATAAATAAATAAATCCTTTTTTAAAATCTACTCTCCTCACAGAGTTTTTATGGATTAAATTATTTGATGTATATAAAAAGCACATAACCAGCACTCAATAAATTGTGCTGATACTGATCATCTAAACGACCTGATAGTATGAAGTCTATGGTACAGAAAAGAAAGATGTGCATTAAAAGACATATACCAGAATGTTCTTAGCAGCAGTATTCTTAAGAGCCCAAACTATATACAAGCCAAACAGCCATCAATAGTAGAATACATAAAGTGTGGTATAGTCAAACAATGAACTTTTACACAGACATGAGAAGGAATGATCTATTGCTACTCACAACATGGATGAATCTCAAAAACACAATACTGAACAAAACAAAAGAAGCCAGACCTAAAAGAATATATGCATGGTTTCATTTTTACAACACAGTTTAAAAAGCTAACTTTTTAAAGTTAGTAAAAAGTTAGGCAAAGCTAACTTGTGGTGATAGATGTCAGGAAGACATCTGTTACTTTTAATGCGTAGGGTGGGAGTAGTGACTGTTAGGGGATGGAGGGAGGGGCTGGGAAGGGGCACAAAAGGGGATTCTGGAGTCCTGGTAATATTTATTTTCTTAACCTTCTGGGTATTTACACAGATGTGTTCACTTTGTAAAAATTCTTTGAAATACGCACGTATGATTTACACACTTTCCTGTATTATGTTATGCTAATAAGCAGTGAAGAATTAGAGATAGTTATATGTAAACTAATTTCTCAAGAGAAATTAGTTTTGAAGGAGAGGTGAAAGAGAGGGTTATACCTAAGGGAAAGAGATAAGAATTAACTTATAAAATAACAAAATATTGAGAGGACAAAAGTTATAGAACTCTTATCTTATTAGGGATCTTTTTTTTTAAAGATTTTATTTATTTATTTGAGAGAGAGAGCATGAGAGAGAGAGAAAGCATGCATGAGCAGGGAGGCCAAGGAGGGACTCGATCCCAGGACCCTGGGATCATGACCTGGGTGGAAGGCAGGCACTTAACAGACTGAACTGCCCAGATGTCCTCTTATTAGGGATCTTAAGATGTCCCCAAAATATCAATTCTGGATAATTTTCTATTTGAATACTTTCAGTTGCAAGGATTCCTTTTATTTTTTTTTTTAAGGATTCCTTTTTTTTCTTTAAGATTTTATTTATTTATTTGACAGAGAGAGAAGGATCACAAGTAGGCAGAGAGGTAGGCAGAGGGAGAGGGGGAAGCAGGCTCCCTGCTGAGCAGAGAACCTGATGTGGGGCTCAATCCCAGGACCCTGAGATCATGACCTGAGCCGAAGGCAGAGGCTTAACCCACTGAGCCACCCAGGCACTCCTAAGGATTCCCTTTTAAGGGTCTGTTTTGCTGATCATTTCTTGTGAGTTAAATAAATTAACATTTATTTACTTACTTACTTATTAAATTAACATCTTAAACAGAACTTATGTTTGTGCTTTAAAAAGTATCACATTCCTTCTTGAGCTTAAAAAAAAAGTTTCTAGGGCTGCCTGGGTGACTCAGTCGTTAAGCCTCTGCCTTCAGCTCAGGTCATGCTCCCAGAGTCCTGGGATGGAACCTCACATCAGGCTCTCTGCTCTGCAGGAGGCCTGCTTCTCCCTCTCCCATTACCCCTGCTTGTGTTCCCTCTCTCACTGTGTCTCTTTCTGTCAAAAAAAAAAAAAAAAAAAAAACCTTAAAAAAAAAGTTTCTGAATAATAGAGCTGAATAACAGTATTAGCCGGATATAGATCTCCATTCATCCAACTGAAGAATTACAGGTCTCGCATTTACTCTCCTACTTTAAAACACCTTCTCACATATTGTCTCTTTCATTTGGAATACTCTATCCCAGTTTCTCCATCTGGAATATTCCCGACTATCTCTTATAATTCAGATCTTACATTACCTTCACAGAAAAACCTTTCTTTGTGGGTGCCCATCTTACTGCTGCCCCCTCGTCAGCCTGGGAGCTCCCTGAGCAAAGAAACTACATGTTTTACAGCTCTGCCTGGCACAAGGCACATGCTGTCTACTCAATACATGTTTGATGGAT